TTTATTTAACAATTAGTATTAATACTATTTATATTTAATTGAATTAAGGAAATTGTGCTGTAATCTTCCTCATGACCCAAAAAAGCAAGTACTAGGCGGAGCAATTTTATGCTGACGTACTTAAGCTTTAAGGCATTTCAGTAATTATATATTTGGCTGGCAATTATATAAAAAAATAAGTCTTTATATACATATGTAAAAGATATTGCAGAACGTATACATAAAAATTTATATATATATGTATATATTATAGAAGAAGAATATTTGAAGGTAAGAGAACCACATATTATAAGCAGTCAAAGGAGATCAGGACTCTTTTTCGTTCGTAACACGCGTTGGTGTGATAAATTAATCGATCATCTATTTTCTGAGTGGGTTTCAAATCTTACTCTTATATTATATTCAGATTTCAGATACAGAATTTCACGATAAGTCTAAATGTATATTGTTATTTTATTTTTTATTTTTGTAAATTTAATAAATATTAAAATTGTAACGCGTTACGTTACGTTACGTATGTGGTTTGACTTTATTAACGTGTGGTATTAATGCAGGAAATCAAAAAAACATAGTCAATCCATGTATTCAAACGAGAAAGCATAAAAAACGGTCATAGATAAAATAACTATCAATTATTACATTTGTCAAATTTAAGAAGCTTTTTTAAATAAATACATATATTTAATATGAACCTGAACAGATAAGTGGAATTAATAACCCTAGCTTAGATATAAGCTTTCAAACAGAATTCATTTAAATAAATAAATAAAATATAAATAATAGAAATTTTACAAATTATACAGGGTGACTGGTGAATTACTATCAATATTTAAGGAGAATACTCGGTACATGATTCTCATTCGAATTATGTAAAAAAAATAGGTACTTAATTTTTGACCAAATTTCCGTATAAATAAATGAAGCGTGGACACGTTCCAAGTGTTCCAAGCGTGGACGCGTGTGGCGGCGTGCTGATACAACACTACGCCGCCACACGTGTGTGTGTGCGTGTGTGTATACCTAATCTTTAGGGTGTTCACACGATGCGTAATTAATTACATAACTTTTGGTTAACTTTACTTAGAAGTTAATTAATATTTATGTTATATTAATTTTTATTTTGTCATATATGATCGTCAAATATCACGTCCTCAAGTATCGATAGTAATTCACCAGTCACCCTGTATATGAAATACAACATATAAGTAACCAGCACTTAAATAATTTATACATACATATATATACTGTTCTACGAAATAAATTTCCTCGCCTGTCCTATATCGACGCCCACCGTGGTAAGTTCATACTTGCCAAATTTCCTGTATCTAGGTCAACGGGATTTCACCTATGTTACATATATCTATGTGAGACTAAACTTTTAGACAGCGCCGTCTGATTGATTGGTTTCACTATGAAAACGGATATCCTATAAGAATATTCTTGTTAATTATTTTAACTTGATACCTTTACCTTCCCGAGATCTGTCCGTGATCACGGTTTCTGAAAAGTAACCGAAACGTCGGAAGTATGTATTTAAAATAATAAAATACGCGTAGTATAATCCTACAAAAAACAAATATTAGATTCATTAAAGTTCCTGACATTTTTCAATGTATGAGTATATACAAATAAGTGATAGAGTTAATTCCAGTTAAAGAAAACTTAAAAATGATTTTAGTTTTGAGGCCGATCAATAAAACCGATGGACATTTAGAAACAAAATTCAATGTGTATGAAACGACTTGAGGAATCTACACCCCTCCCCCACTCCCCCCAACGTATCATACTAGGACCGTATTAGGAACGTGTTAGGACCGGCATACAAAACGGTAGGCTCTACTATACAATACACTTATTTGTAAACTAGTGGGAATAATCTCATACATTTTCATACAACTTATATTTTGAAGTGAAACTTCTAACGCGACTTCTAATATGGTTGCGTTAAACGTTCAACGCTCCTGGGGAAAAGGAATAGAAAGAGACGGAGCAAGAGTATATGGTGGGTCAATTATGGATTTTAAGCAATTTTTATAATATTGTCTTAAAGAAATAATACGAGTTCACTAAAAATTGATTTCTACCTATTCGTATTTCATATTCATATTACGAAATTCAAATTCTTCCGCGCAGGGAGACTCCATTGCACTTTTTTTTTTTGTCCACACACGTTCCTTCTACGACATTGTTACATACGTTGCAATATATACAATCCTTTAGGTTAGTTAAAATAAAAAATAATAATAGTATTTCTGTTAGAAAAATGTATGACGGCATAATTTTGTAAATATTTACATTTATCTCAAATATTTATATGATAAATATACCGCATTCTATTGAATTTTAAAGCATCATGGAATCTCGGGGACCCTTCGACAAATTGTAGTACACTTCAGCCAACTCGTGAAGGTTACTTAAAAAATTGCTTCAATATCAATTTTATTCTTAGCAGGTGACCCTTTTAATTAGATTGATATACATACCATATTATCTTATACATATAAAAGAAAGTTGTGTTAGTTACACTATTTATAACTCAAGAACGGCTGTAGGGATGTGGTTGACAATTGGTGGAAGGATAGCTTAGAACCAGGAGATGGACATAGGATATTTAATTCTGTTCGATAGAAAAAGAAAAAAATACTTAATAAATTCCAATATCTGGTTATTTACGGCCTCTGTGGCGGAATAGACTTCGCCCGGTTGGCTATATGTATATTACTAATTCAGAAATTAAAACGGACGAAGCCGCGGGCACAAACTAGTTAGATAACATCTATCCTAAATTTTAATTTTAATTTTTAATTCAAAAAATATTAATTTATAAAAACTACCATAGACAATTTACTATTTCATAATAAACTTTTTGATGCACGTCAAAAATGTTAATACCAACTTGACAATGCAAATAGCTCTATAGCCAACGTTTCAGCCTACCGTAGGAATTCAAGATGCTATGAAACGCTCGGAATTCCGTGCCAAAAATATTCACACCAACTTGACCTAGCCGCAGCATTATAAAGATAATACGAATCAATAAAAAAAATTAAAACTAGCATATAATATTAACATAAAGATATTTTAAGAGACGAAAATCCGGTCGAGTGATAAATTTTGTATTAAAAATGATATTTAGGTAAAGTTTTAATAATTTTCGTATAACAATAAAATGTCTCCTAATTGACCTTAATCAAATTAATCTCTAGCATACGATGTCTACCATTTGCTACGTCTTTCAACTAAATGTAAAATTTTAGTAACGGAGATTTTTTACGTCATTTTAAACAATAGTTCAATCAAAGTCAAACCAGCCGTGTCTTACACCGCTACATAAATATATTTGTCATAAATACTGCATATAATAATTATAAACGCGTAGTAAATCCGAAAAATCGTAATTTTTATTTCAATGAACACTCGCGAAAGTCTTAGATCTGAATAGATTTCAATATTTCATACATATAAGTACATATACATAATGAGATCTAAGATTTTCGAGAGTACTCATTTAAATGAAACTAATATTTTCGGATTTACTACGCGTATTTTAACTACATATACGTCATTTTGTCTGTCCGTGATCACGGTAGCTGTAAGTTAACCGAAACGTCGGGAGTATGTAGTTTATAGTCAAAAATAAAAAATCGCGTAATAAATCCTATAATACTAGTTTCATTTACATATATATTTATCATCAATTAAATAAATGTCGAGAGTATATACTATATACTTGGTAATGATTTAATTGTATACATTCTAATAATATCGAATCAAACTACCCTTCCTTGGTTTCCTAAGCTGTTGTGGCATGGCTTCGATAAACATATAATAAACATATACACATATATACGTATATAACAAATATGTTGGAATTTCACAACGAAGCCCTAACAAATGTCACATTACTCCCTAATACAATAAGATGAGATAGTAATATTTTTTAATTATGAAAATTTCTGATTACCAACATCGGGACATATGTACATTGTATGTTGAATAATTCATATGAAACTGGTAGTATTTACTCGTCAAAGTACATACAGAAAAATTTAGACTTTATTGAAAAATCGTTTAAGACGATAGTACATTAGGTATACGAATAAGGTAGTGAATTCGTATAATTATGTTTCTAACATTAAACCAATTTTAAGATATTAATTAAAATATATATGAAATTTAAAAAATTAAGAAAATTTTCGTTGACATGACCACGATCCAAAGTTGGGAATTGGGATCTCCCGAAAGTTATGTAAAGCAACAACAGAAGTAACCGCAACGAGACGTTTTAAAGTACGCAAATTCAAATTCTACGTGTGAAGATCATTTTTCTTTTTAAAAATGTTATTGTTTTTTAAATAGATATAATTCTTAAAACGATCTCTTCTGATTTTGACTATGCTAAGTCCTCGTAAAGTTAATATTTTTAAGAGACATACGAGTTTAATATCAATTGTGCTTTGAGATAGTTAAAATGTATTAGATGTAAAGAAAAATTATCTATTCTATACTTATTATTAATTTTAAAAAAATCAACTATTATATCAGACTATATGCCCCTGAAAAGATGGCAATCAACTATGAATTCTACTTGTATATTTCCCATTCATAAACCATAATTTATTAGGGTCTTAACGAAATACGATTTTTGAAAGACAATTGTCGTCTAAAAGACACATAATATGTAAGTCTACCTTTATCCCAATGGCATGAAAGTTAAAGGCACAATACCTAAGATAACAAATGAATGCTTCCATTTAATTTTTGTAACTAGTATACAAAAAAAAACAAGTTAAATCTATAAGCACTAGTTTCCCTAATTCTATTATTAAAATCCATACAGTAATCTCCAAATGACATAACATACATCCTAAATAATATTACATGTTTAAAATCATATTTAAACATGTACATGTCACAGCTCCATTAATAATAAGTTATCTTTAATGCCATCACATTATAAATAGATTGATTTAATTCTGTGTATAATGTAAGTAACTCACCTGTCCATATCTCGAGGATGCCAAATGTACATTTCTGTTCTTCAACGAGAAGTCCGGTCTCTTTCCGAGGCCATAATTGCTCTTATTCTGCGACATAAACTTCTTGGGTCTATCGAGACGATCAGTCGAACCGGTATCGGTTTCCTCATCTCGTTTGGATGTTGATGGTATCCCTCTATAAGCACCTCTTGTTCCTCTTATTGTCTTCTCCGGGCTCTTGTCCTGTTTCCGAGTAATAAGATTGTCTTTCCTTTGTTTGTTGCTTCGTAACGACACATTGGACGCCATATTGTCCATAATGCTCCATCAAGACACTCAATGTAACATGCACCCGCACTTTATATTCATTGTGATGGTAATAATCTCAAAAATTTTTATATTACTATTATATATATATATCCGGCATCACAAATCTCTGAGCTTCAGTGCTAAATTAAATTTCCATAACAATTATTTGTTTCACATACAGCATGCAATGGTTCACGGGAATAACTAAATTGGACTACAAGCTAAATTATTAATTTATATAAAAAAAATAAATAAATAACTAAATCCGTCTTTTTATTCTCTCTCTTGTTGGCATCCTTCACAAGTGACCATTCATTCTATCCTAAACAAAAATATTCAATATAAAATATTACAGTCTTGAGGGAAATTTTGGAAATTTTTATTGCAGAAGTTGTTTTTTTCTGATGTTATCTGAAATGTGAAGAAGAAATATCAATTAATAATCACCACATGACAAATGTTACAGTCATTATAAATGAATTGACCAACAACTAAGTATCAACTTTCAAGTTATATATAGAATAAGATAATAAAACACGATAATAAGAACTTGATCTCATACAATCTATTTTATACATAACTAATAATTTGGTCACATTAAGATCAAATAGATAGTATCATATAATTAAATGTTTTCCATATAAATATAACACTAATTTGTATTAATGTAATGTTTATTTTGTTTTACACACTCTAACGGTTAAGTAATCTGTGACTCATATTTTGATAATGAAAACACTTAAGACAATGTGAATAAAATTGATTCATACAAAATATATTTGATTAATTACATATAGTGTAAGGAAAATATCGTAAAACGTCTTTGTTTATTATTATTAGAGAGTAATTATGATATCACATATCACAATTGTTAGGAGTTTGTACACTGGGAGGTGGTTGACATTTAACAATGGGGGCATACAGTGACTCCTTTCACGACTACCATTTGTATACGATACCAGTGACAATAATCACAAATTGATACACAAAAACACATGTTGCATTATCGGTGTATAGCAAATGACACGTCCAACTCTTTGCGACTGCGACGGATTAACTAAGTAATTATAAGGTCACCACTATACTTTCTTTACATACGTAATAACAAAACAGTGCGTACGATATATAATTAAGTAAAACTAGTTGCCGGCAACGAGATATTCGAACTGAAATTATACCTACTGATAATGTTGTATTACGTCTCGCTAATAATGTATTTTTAATTCCATATCACTGTAAGTGTCGATCCGTATATATAGAAATACTCAGAATTCTTCAGGCATTGACCGTTTTAATTCTATAGGAATGGCGCATAGCTGAATCAAACTGAATTAAATAGAGTAAAAATTGCACTGACAGTCTGTCAAGCTACAAAGCATGAATATATAGATAGAAGAGGAATGTCTGATACCTTTGGATCCAAACCACCGAATGCTTATAGCGTTTTATAGACTTATAATCAGTACATTAACAAAATGTATATCCTATTCTATAAATACTTACAAATAAAAATCTGGAATCACACCATTGTTTTTTCTTCTGCAGAATCAGAACTCCTGTGTTGCAAGTTAACATAATAACCATATCTGTCGTAAAAGTGGGTCATCGATAACGAAGAATCAATTAAATATATTTTTATACAGTAGGGTTAAAAATACCTTATATTATTTTTAATGCCGTAGAGTTAACAATAGGCAATGATAATACTATTATTAATAATATAAAATAATAATTGCAAAGTGACATCTTATTTTAACAAATAATATGGAATGGTAACATCTTGTGACAATTCCGTTTGACGCATCAATTTAATAATCTTTATAAGACATAAAATAATATGCAATGGGAAAAACATAATAAAAGTATAAAAAAAATATTACTTTTCATTTTTATAACTAATGGATATTATATAAATAAATAAATACATAATATATTTTGTAAAATAATGTACGTTAAATATGTAAAGTAACGTATTATACGTTTAGAAATGTATACTTTTGGACTTTACAGAATATTGGACCCATTTCTAACATAATAGGAATATAAAACATTTATCATTCCACAATTTTCTAAATATTACCAATATATTATTATAGGTTGATTACGTAAACTATTTGAAACATTTTATGCAAATAAATTATGTATATGACATTCTTTTATGCTAACATTAAATTGTTGACGTTTAGATAATGAAGAAATATTTCTGAACCGATTTGTGATGTCGATTGTGTTATGTGTACATGGCACATTTTAATTTGCCTCTTTTACGAAAAACATGAAGTGAAAGAAATATCATAATAAATATAAAAACATGGCTTTTGTCAGTGCTGTTACCGGCGATGACTCCACGAAGAAATTCATGGATGTCTTACAAAATGATTTCAAAACTCTCAGCTTAGAAACCAAGAAAAAATATCCTCAGATAAGAGAGGTACTTACCGTATTAATTAACAGTAAAAAGGAAATAATTTCACCTCCAATTACAAATACAAGCACAGAAAAATCCTTGTATTTAATTTTTTTCACATATTTGCACTATACATTTTCTATTTTTTTCTTCTATATCACAATATTATTATACCAGTGGTCAACCGCAAAATCATAATTGTCACACAAATGAATACGATATCATAATATTTTAACGTAAATAATATACAATAGAGTGGTTAACTGACCTTGCCAAAAATACCTATACAGGAAATATAAAGAGAATTTGTTTAACAAAAAATATTGTTTTTATATAACAGTCTTTCATTATTATGTTTTAGGTTGACACAGTTTTAATTGAATGCATATATTCACATACAATTTTAATTATTATTCTAATATGACACTAATAGTATCTGCAACATTATATATTAAGTGTAAATTTATTTTTTAATGAAACTCTTTTTATTCATATATTCAAGCTGTATATGAGTTCAGAGGACCCTTCTAAAAAAATTTCTAAAGTTCCTATCAATGTTCTCTAACTTAGCATTTTCGGAAAAATATCTAATAGATTTGAACATTGATATCAAATTTCTATAATATAAAAAGTTCATTAACACAAATACCATTACCACCATATTAATGTTTAATACATTTATGTATTGGCTATTTTATAATTTATACAGGGATTTATATATTTTTGTTATTACCCTTTAAATGTTTTATCTTTCAGGCATGTGATGAAGCCATAGAAAAACTAGCTTTGGCATCAAACAATCCACAAGCCTCTCTGTATGGTGTTGTTAACCAAATTCTGTATCCGTTAGTCCAAGGGTGTGAATCAAAAGATGTCAAGATTATTAAGGTATTTTTTAAATTGAAAACAATAATCTTCTATATATATAAAAATGGATTGCTGTTCCTTAGTCTCGCTAAAACTCGAGAACGGCTGAACGGATTTATCTTATCTTAGTCTTGAAATGTTCGTGGAGGTTCAGGATAGGTATAAAAGCTGAAAAAAATTTATTCATTACTGGGAAAATCATAAAAACAGCCCTTTTCTATTTCCCATACAATTTTGTTTGACATTAGATATGACAACTAACTAATATGTCAATCATTCTGTCGCACTTCAAATCACGGAGATTTATGGCTTAGAGGTAAACTCCAAAAATATAAATAAAAAAACGTAATAGACATTTTTTAATTATAGGGCGATACGAAGTTCGCCAGGTCTTCTAGTTGATCAATAAAAAGGTGTAATTATTTTTAAAACTATTTGGTAATAATTTAAAAGGGAAGTTGGTAATATTATTAGGTAAAATCTAATAAGATTATAACAATTAATAAACATAATACATATATTTATTTGAGTTTCTAAAATATAAAGTATGTTAGTTGTTAATAGAGTTTTTAAAAACCTACTTTTTAAATTATTACATAACAAGATATATTGAATAAAATATAAAGCCATTATTTATTTCAAATGTATAATTAAATATAATGCAAAAAATATATGAGAAAACTATATATTTTGTGAGAATGTAGGAGAGTGTTATATTTATGTGTTGTATATATATTTCAGTTCTGTCTCGGAACTATTCAGCGATTGATAGCCCAGCAGGGAATAGATGCAAAAGGTGCTCGGCATATAGTAGACTGTCTGTTCAATCTCGGCCACTCGGGAATGTTGGAATTAAAGTTATTACAGACAGCAGCTTTATTAATGACCACATCCGATCTGGTTCACGGAGACACCTTGGCCAGGGTGAGTATAGAAAATTCTTCTATTATCAATCTAATTGTTATGAACTCAAACTGATGTAAAACATCCTTAAGTGTTCCTATTAACTTCTTCTTCTACCTGGCAAATTCTCAGCTATAGCCAGGGTCTGCCTTACATGTTGTGAATTGTTTTGGCTATTCAGTTTTTTTTATTAACAGCTATTAATCAATAAAAAAAATTTGCGTATTTTTATTTTTTTTTTGTAAATTATTGCGAAAAACGTTATAATAATAAATATTAGCTATGTATTTCTCATATTTTTCTATATTGGTAACATAAATGTAATATTTTTTAGACTATGGTCCTCTGTATACGAATGGTTTCAACTACGGAGACTCGAGATATTAGTACGAGTCATGCCGCTGTGGCCACAGTACGACAGCTTGTAGCACTCGTCTTTGAAAGAGCTTTGGCTGAAGCTAATGGTACATATATTGTTTACTTTATACCAAATGATAGTAATATTTATAAAATAAGGCAATGTTTATATAAGTAATTTACTTATTACAGGAACATTAAAAGTAAATCCAGCAGATGTGAGAATACAAGCAAACTGCAAAGCACCGAAAGATTTAAAACCATGTGCAGTTGATGCATATCTTATACTCCAAGTAATGATTTCTATATATATTTCTATAAGTAATGATTTTTTTATTTGATTTCTTAATTATTTGTTTATATTTATAGGATATAATACAATTGATAAATGGTGATGCTGCTAACTGGCTTGTGGGAATATCAGATGTACCAAAAACATTTGGATTAGAGCTCCTCGATACAGTATTAACAGATTTTTCTGATGTTTTCTTTAAGGTAGGCTGTATATTTAAAACTTATGCCCTTATTGTATTTTTTCTGTAATATAAATGACATCTATATTATCTATGGTATTCCAGATATCAGAATTCCGTTTCCTATTGAAGGAGCATGTGTGCGCGTTAATTATAAGATTGTTTTCGCCTAATGTTAAGTATCGGTAAGTAAAGTCAATATTATATATAAATTAGCACCCTTTTTCTATATACAAATTATACCACTACATATGTGATGATATATGTATACTACGTTTCTGTTCGTAGGGCTGCCTTCCCGTCTCCCCACATCCCGGGCGGCGGCGCGGCCCCAGGGGCGGAGCGCCCTCATTTCCCAGTGACCATGCGACTGCTGCGTCTCGTGTCAGTCATCGTACATAAATATCACGACGTACTGGTTAGTACTTATATAACAATACTTTCGAAATCTAATAAAACTCATTAAAATGTAACGATTCCATCACGGGTGTGTAATATTGACTGTAAAAAAGACCATTAATACTTGTTGTAACTTAATACTTACTTGTTTGTTATTTATCCTGTAATTTTATATACTACAATATACTGATAATTACAGCCAATGATCATATACCGTCAGTAATATGGCTAGTGCAATGAAAACAAATATTCTATTAATAAAGTAAGCAATAAGCAAAGCCCATAATTGAAGCACTGCTTGATGTATATAATGTCTTTTAAGGCTTTAAACTCTATAACAATGTTAATATAATATATTTCGTTATTCAGATGACCGAGTGCGAGATCTTCCTATCTCTGAGCATCAAGTTCCTTGACCCTGATAAACCATTATGGCAGAGGGCGCTGGCTTTGGAGGTTCTACATCGGATGACCGTACAGCCTGGTGAGGAGGGAGAGGATTATTGTTGACTGGTGACGCTTTATGACATAGAGAGGGGGGGGGGGGAGAAATAAAGCTGATATGAATAGAATATAAACGTCAGTGGTGGCCTAGTGGTTAAAGGGCCCGCCTCTCGTTGCCGAGGGCACGGGTTCGATCCTGGCCCGGGCAAGTACCAATGTGATTTTTCCGAGTCATATGTACTTTCTAAGAGTATTTAGACATCACTGATTAATCCTGATTACCAAAAGAGGGTTGACGTCAGGCAGGCGGCCGGTCGTAAAAACAAATAGCCAAAAAACTATTCACAAAACTTGTAAGGCAGACCCTGGCTATAGCTGGGAAATTGCCAGGTAGAAGAAGAAGAAGAGAATGGAATATGAACGGTTTGTTTGGTTGGTAATAGGAAAGCAATTGTGGGTACACTGAGAAAATTCTTTGAATTATATATCATCATTTAGCATAAATGTGCTTATAATTTTTTTTTGTATCTTAAAGCCTTTCTAACTATATATATATGGAATAAAGAAACCCTTTTTGTAATGTACCATTGTCTAAGAAACAAATCTTAAAAGTCCTTTACAAGATTTCAATATCACTATTATTGCAAATTATTTATGAAAGACTGAAAATTATTTATAAACTCACACGTGAATCTGTTTTCAGATCTACTGAAAGCGTTTTGCGAATGCTATGACATGAAGCCGCACGCGACCAATATATTTCAAGTAAACCAACATATATTAATATGTTAAAATATTAATTGTAATTCATACTGATTATTTAACTATGATTGTTTTAGGACATAGTGAACGCTCTTGGGGCGTATGTGCAGAGTCTATTCGTTGCGTCGCAAGTCAATACTTCAGCTGGTAAGTTATTCCTCTTTACTTATATTTAATTAAGTTAATAAAGTTCAGTTCATATATAAATAATATTTATAAAGATTAAATGATTCTTGGATAAGAAATTTAATGGAATTTTCTTGTAAGTAATAACTTTAAAGAGAGGCCTTCAGTTATATGTTTTACATCTATCTGCATCAGCTGATAAATTATATAAATAATACTTTTTTTATTAAAATATTTATTTACAGTGATATCTTTATTTGTAGTAATACACGAACACAAATGTCTTCCTTAACTCTCAGTGAAAATAGTATCTTATAAACCATTAACAAAATAAATAAAAGTTAATCATCATTATTTTAAATATTTACTTAGAGAACAAATGTTTTAGGGAACAAATTGTAACAAGAACTCTTTTAGGTCTACCTCTTAGGACACTCTACGTTGCGTACATAAACGTTTTATTTGTCTTTTGATTTCTTATAAGTTGACATTTAGTCTTTTTTCTATACCTAATATGCTATTAACAAAAAAAAATCAATAACTGCAAAAAAGATTAGTATTGTTTTTTGTCTTAAAATATCTGGTCCAGAAGGAAAGGCTTAGACATTGTTAAATTACGCGTATTCAAGCAAATAGGAGAGTAATGAGAAGTGCCCGACTAGATTCCATATAGATTTTCTAGCTTTTTAATAAATCTTCATCGAGGTCATCCTTTTTATCCTCAGTATCATAATAGTCTATGTCCGGTATGTTCTGAAATTTCCGATCTGTATCGTCTTCCATGGGATCTGGCGGTGGACCTTCCACGGTCACCTTACGTAGTAATACTTCATAGTCTTGATCTTCATCCAAAAAGGCTTGTTCTTCCACACTAAGTCCTATTGGTGACCCTGATTAAAAGATTTCTCTTATCAACACACAACATGTATGGGACATTCAAAAATCTATATAGGGACTAAGACCAGTAATTTTTCCTTTATATATAAATTACAAATAACAATTTAAAATTTTATTATACTAGTATTTGGCTGCTGGCATTGTCTATACGCCACAAAATTATTTGGACCAAAATGAATATTGTTATAAGACCATCAACTTATATATGATTAAAATTATGTAGCGTTTTTGTGTTAAAATAATAAACATATACTTCTCTATTTTCGAATAACAATTTCCTGCATCTAATAACTGATACAATATACCCCAATATCTTCCAACACGTAGACTGGACACATTATTATGGTCATGTGTAAGTATCTCCAAGTAAAGTTCTATAAGCGGCAGACATCTGTGCATACATCCCTCGTATGTACCGAATCTGTTCCCGCGCCAGTCTACCGGACAACCAAGACGTTCACTGTCATATAAGAAAATTAGTTAATTAATTAGCAAAAAAGTAAAAGAACGATGATCTCCATTACAATTTTTATGTTTAATTATGGAATAGGCTTTTCTAAATATTCATTGCTTTGAAGCTTCAAAGTTCAGTAGTTCTTTGACATTTGTACTTCTTAAAAGATGTTCCTTACGCATTTTGTCAACTTTTTAGATTAATTGCTATTAAACATCCTTAAATATGTGTCAAACTAAATGCATTAATCAAATTCATACATTATCAAGTGCAGGTTTAACGAAAACTATCCTATGATATGATTTACTACTACCTAATCCTGTATCCATATCAGAAAATAACTCCTACGTACGTGCAATTCTGTATCTGGAACATAAAGCTCCACACAGGTACTACCGGCTCCATACACAAGCCAGGCGTGTAGCGACGAGTGCAACGAACGAAGTTCCCGTGCTTCGATCTTTTTCTTCTTGGCTCTGTGAATTAAATGTTTTGCGAAAAACAGTAGAGAAAAAAAAAGAGATCCATTCAATTTTTTTTTTGTTAGTATAGCTTCTTTTTCTTCGACCACAATAACTGAATCGTATTTCTATTGTAATTAGTGGGTTATTGGATATAGAAATGTAATTATTCCTTTGGAAGTTAAAAAAAAATCTTCTACCGTATTCTATAGCTCTGATCTAATAAATTCTAATTGTCCTATTATATTTTTTCAATAGCTTCAATACTAATAACTCACCATATGAACTATCTGTTGGGTCATATTCTGAAACAGAAAAACATGATTTACAAGCGATATTTGTTTAATGAAACCCTTTTTATGAATGTCTAATTTCCTTACAAGTTTGACATAACGAAAAAAAAACCATCGTTTCTACTTAAAAACTATATCGATGTCACATATAAAATTGTTCACCAGAAAATTGAACTTAAAGAGAAACACAATAAAAGACAAAATACTCACTCGGCTCTCGTCGTGCCTCATATAGTCCTATAAGACAAAAAATTACCAACAAGCCAAATATCTTCTCCATTGACTTAACACTCAAGACCGTATAGATTTGTTTGTCAATACTTTTATTTTATTTCAGGGTCATCGAGTATTCCTCAACAAGCCGGGTTCTACTGGAAGGGAGTATGGTTGCCGCTGTGTGTGACCTTCGAACCTGGTGTCGCGAAATCTGTATAGTAAGGATATATTTATACTTAGTTGTTTTTTGCGACTTTGTCTATGTATAGCCCGGAATTAGGTCAGGAGAAAAAATTACTGTTAATCTATACTAATATTATAAAGCTGAAGAGTTTGTTTGTTTGAAAGCGCTAATCTCCGAAACTACTGGTTCGAATTGAATAATTCTTTTTGTGTTGAATAGTCCAGTTATCGAGAAAGGCTGTGAGCTATATTACATCACGCTACGACCAATAGGAGCAAAGATATAGTGGTAAATGTGTAAAAAATGGGAGAAATTATTTCATCTTTGAAGCCTTCCGTTGCGTGCGCCGTGAAAACGGTTCAAGATACACAAAAAATATGTATGAAAGAATAACAGCTCTTTTAATAATCTAAAAAACAGTCCGCGACAGTATATGTCTATTTTTTAAGATTAACCGTTTTTATGGTACCTAATTTGCTCGAAATAATTTTATAAAATCTTTATTCAAATAAACAAATAAATATGTTGTTGGTTAAGAGTACTTCATTGTGAATTTTAAAAAAAACATAGGTTTTATCCTGAAAACTCTACGGGAACTCGACCATTCCGAAAACCCTGCAAGAACGGGAGCTATGTGGGAAGAACCAAAAATCTGCCGGAAGTCACTACTCCACGCGGACGGAGTCGCGGCAAAAGCTAGTATTTAAATAAAATGGTTACAATCTTGCAATCGCCATCTTTTTTCTGTGACATGTGATTTAATACGAAATTAAACTGTGTTCCTTAGGATATTTTAGGGATTTTTTGGACAGTAATAATTTTAAACTATATAACTCTGATGTGTAAGCTACATCTCTGGAAAGGTTAATCAAAATCTGCTTAATAATTATTGCGTGCGAGATCAACAAACATTTTACCCCCATCACAACTTTTCTTATTTAATAACGAAATTGATTTTCATATGCATAACACGGGATTATTTTGCCTTAAATATTTTGGCAAAATCTTGAAGTATTTACTGTATTGAGTTCATAAATATAGATAAATAGTATTATTTAATGAATATATTGTTGCAGTATAGAGATGTTGGACCGCACGGAGGCGCCCACCATTCAAGAGGGTTACGGCATCTCGGTCGCTTACGCCTGCCTCGTGGAGATCATACGGTCTATAGCTATCACGATTGAGGGGGAGGAGTACTTTAGGTAAGATGTCAAATATAGTTGGGGCCTATCTGAAAGTTTTTCCTCCACAGAGTTCCAAGACTCCATATAAACATTTAACAAGTTATGCTATATCTACTTACGTATTGTATATTGGTTATTTACACAAGCACATTGAACTTAGAAGGAACCCCCAACTATTAATAGGAATTTCATACTAATAAATAAATATTATTACACATTAATTTCATTAATTGACAATTTTTTTTTCTCTTAGACTTCAAGAACTCTACGACGATACACAAAACGACGAAGAGAAAGAGATTAATTCGAATAAGACAAGTAATAACAATACGAAAGGTATGTTTTTAATTATATATATAAATAAGTATTTGTATATGTACGATTTCAATATTTCTTATGTGTTATATTTATTATAGATACGAGTACTAAAGCGGACAGTAAGGAATTAACTAACAACGGTCTTTCCACCGCCGACCAAAACTCTAATGTGATGAAGATACAAGCAGATGATGAAGACAAGGAGAGACAGCTGAAGTTACAGGTATGTGACACAAAGCTTATATCATACTAGCTTTTGCCGCGGCTTCGTCCGCGTGGAATAGTGACTTCCGACAGATTTTTGGTTTTTCCCACATAGTTCCCGTTCTTGCGGGGTTTTCGGAATGGTCGAGTTCACGTAGAATTTTCAGGATAAAACCTATGATTTTTCTTAATTCACAATGAAGTACTCTTAACCAACAACATATTTATTTGTTTATTTGAATAAAGATTATTATTATTATGTTGATACATCATCATCATCATCAGCCAAAAGACGTCCACTGCAGGACATTGGCCTCCCCCAAGGATACAACTTATGTTGATACAACTTAAACAAATTATTTCGACAAAATTAGGTACCATAAAAACGGTTTTTGTGAGTTAATCTTAAAAGATAGACATATGCTGTCGCGGACTGTTTTTTAGATCATTAAAAGAGCTATTATTCTTTAATACATATTTTTTGTGTATCTTGAACCGTTTTCACGGCGGACGCAACGGAAGGCTTCAAAGATGAAATAATTTCTCCCGTTTTTTACACATTTACCACTTTATCTTTGCTCCTATTGGTCGTAGCGTGATGTTATATAGCCCACAACCTTCCTCGATAACTGGACTATCCAACACAAGAATTATTCAATTCGAACCAGTAGTTTCGGAGATTAGCGCTTTCAAACAAACAAACAAACAAACTCTTCAGCTTTATAATATTAGTATATATGATGAAGTTAACAATATATATTAAATTGATGTAATAATGCCATCGGTTTTCAAATTAAATTACGAATGTTCGTTTTACAATATCTGGCATAGCATGGTTAATATTCTGACAATAAATATTAGGGGTCAAAAATGACCCGAACTTCTTCGATAAAATTAAAACAGACAACTTGTAAAATATAATTTTAAATAAAAAATATCTCGGTGAAATCGAAATGACAAAATTATTCTAAAACAACACTTATACGAAAATATAGGCTTATTTTTATATATACTAAACCAGAAAATCTTTAGCGTCGTGAAATTTTAATTCCTTAACTTCATATTGATGTGATTTTGGTTATACTTCATTAGTTTCTCAAGTAATTAATATATATTTGTGTAGCTGATCAAATCGTCGTGGTGTGGTCTTGTGTGGGGCCTGTCTGTGTTAGCTGAAGCCAGCATCGGAGAATTGGAGCACGTGCTGCGCGCGGTACAGACGCTGGCTAGAGTTAGTGGAAAGGTATGGGACTAAAATATATTTGCTGATACATAAAATGCAATCTTCACTTTATATTAATGCTACTTGTAATCATGTTCAATAAGAAAAAGCTTTTTCTTTATTCCGAGATTTAATATACGCAAAAGTTTTAGCCTATTTTTTGCTTCTATTCATAGCAATACATTCAAAAATGTTAGCAATATTAAATTAAAAAAAAAACAAAAAATCTTAATAAATACACACAGTATAGCAATAAGAAGCCGTAATATAAAATGTTACATATCAAAGTAACAACTTCCCCCTCCCTCCAGATGGGCGTCACCAACGCCCGTGACGCATGCGTGGGCGCACTATGTCGGTGTGCGTTGCCCGCGCAGTACTGTGTGCCCGTGCTAGGCGCCCTGGCCGCCCTGGCCTGTCCGTGGCCGGGAGCGCGACCCCCAGCCCCCGCGCCGGACCTCCGACACCACGTGGTGTGGGTTGGAACCCCGCTGCCATGCTCTCAGCCGACAGGTGACAGTTAGTGAATTTGTATAGGGTGTATTCGGTTTGCTTTCTTTTTGGTGGTTTGTATTAGGGTATATTCGGTTTGCTCACACTTTGTGGTGGTTTGTTTGGGGTTCTTGTGTTAATGGTGTCATAGTTCTTATGGGTTCTGTACATTTTATTAATTATAAATTATGGTGTTACATGTTTTCTATATAAAATTGTAAATCAATTACCATAATTGATTCTGTCAACCACTAGAAATAAACAAGTAATGAGAACCCTTCTATCTTAAATATTTGTAACAAAATTTAAGATGGGGAGAATCCTGAAATATATTTTGATGATGAAAGGGCCATTTCATGAAAAAGATTAACAAACACTACATAGTGATATGTATACTATTATGTCTAAGTTGTGTGGAGTGTAGACGAATATAGTAGAAAAGTTTTACTGTACCTTTTATTAATTAATATATGATTAACATTTCTACTTATTGCATGCTTTTTTGGCGAACACTAATTTATTATGTATGTCAGTGAGAATTTTTTTTGAAATAGTTTAACATTTAACATTAAACTATTTCATTTATTATTATTATTATTATTATTCATACAGCTTTTATTTCTAGGAAATAAAACAACTGGAAAATAATTTTCTCCTGTTACGTTTCAAACATAATAAGTGATATTTAGTTAATCATTGTGTTTAATGTGTAAACGTGGCTGAGTCTAGACTGATTTTCTATCACATATTATTAGTTCTAGACCTTTAAATGAAAGTCTTCTTATTTTGAACATGAATTCCACAACCATGTTTAACCCTTAAAATGCACTTTTTTATATAAAATTAGAGATAAACAATCAAGCCATGACGATAATGTTGTGGTTGGTAGACAGAAAAACAATACTATGGTTTTCTTAGAATGAACAGTCTCGTTTAATACACCTTAACTAACATATCTATATATAGCTGCTTTGACTAATATTTATATATTAAATATTATATATAAAACTGATTTCATTACAAAAAAGTACTCTGTTAAAATTAATCAAGACCATTTTTAGCTAGTATAAGGTAACTGACCATATTCCCAACGTTATAATATTATGTCAGCTCAAGAAAAGATTCCAATTATTCCCTTTTTTTTCTAAATCTGAAATATCCCATATGTACATAGGTTATAAATGTTTGTTTTACTTTAAGTGATTTCTTTGAGAGGCTCACTCAAATATCCTTATTAGGGTTATGATTATATTGAATGTAAAACATATATTTAATAATTCAAATGGTCTATTTTTATAACTTGCACACCCTGTATAAGCCGATTTTTCTGTACCTACCCTTAGGTCAGCAGCAGTCGTTCGTGATGGTGACGTCACGCCACGTGTCCGCCCTCCGCGCGCTGCTGACGGCTGCTGCTCGGGACGGGGACGCCCTGCAGCACGCCTGGCTGCCGGTACTGACCACGTTGCAGCATCTGGTGAGGAACAGCATTTATAGATATAGTTGAATGATAGCAAGGACAGCATACAAATATTGTTTTGTAATATATAACAAAACTAAATAATTAATTTATAATTATGAGAAATTGTAGGTTAAAAGATATTGAAAAATATAAGTCGATATTTTACTAGTATAAATCATACAATTAATTGATTACTTAAGCTTAATTTTCACTATCCCTTCCCTACACGTATAGTAAAGACGGTAATATCCGGATATGACGTCATAATTGACTTTTCCAGGCCACATATATAAGAAGAGACTTAAATAGTATTTAATATTTGTTAGGTATGGGAACACATATATAAGAAATGCCCTATTAATACATAATGTTTGTTAGGTGTGGATCCTGGGTCTAAAGCCATCTACCGGCGGTAGTATGAAGGCGAGTCGGGCGAGCGCTGACGCTAACGCTGTCATGAGCACGTCCGCGGTCATGGCAGACCTGCCCGGTAAGAATCGACGTTATTACTATAGGAATAGAGTTAAAAATAATCATTTCATTTAGAATTCATTACTCTAACATGAATATAGTTTGCTCATATATGAAATCGTTCGATAAAGCTTGATACATACAAGGAGCTATACTATATTATTTCTTGAGCGTGTTATAATAATGTAATTTTCAGGTCAACAAGTCCCCGTGGCGGAGTCGCTGGGTGTGATGAGCGGTATAACAATGAGTTTTAATGTTTTATGTCTATTTGGAATGTGCACATGCTTTATATCACACTACGATTTATAAATACATTTCAAATAGACATGGAATCGGGTCGTTTGGGATGTTTGTAAAGTCAACTTTATACTGTTGGCATAGAGTCGTTTTTTTTCTAACTAGCTTTTGTCCGTCGCGTTGGGATGGCGCTTACTGGCCGTGTTTTATATTCGCACATTTTGTTGTTCGCAACGCAACTTTGTTATACAAAACTATCGTACAAATGATCACTATGTAGCTATATCTATATATGTATAAAATGCTTAACAATTCAGACACAGCGTATGTAAGATGTGCATATATTTTTGTATGACCTCCGCTTGTGCATGTGTGTGTATTTTATATTATCGGTGTTTTATAATGTTCTCAGCGTTGTCGGCCATGTTGTCGCGTGTTTTCGAAGCATCAAAGAACTTGGATGACGTGGCCCTGCATCATCTGATAGACGCGTTATGCAAGCTGTCCAATGAAGCGATGGAGTTAGCTTATTCTAATAGGGTCAGTGTTATACACTTTTTAAGCTAATAAGTAGCTATTAGATGTAGTAAAATTAATTTAAAAGTGATTACTGAGTGGTATCGTTTCGTATTATGGATTATTACCAAGTAATTATCAAATACTTGTTCGAAACTATTTGTGTAGGATATAATTTCTTTGGTCAAAGCAATAAGAATGATATTTTAATATGTGTCTACCAGCATTTATTTAAAATATGTAAGTTATCCTATATTTAAATATATAAATTATCCTATATTTAAAATATAACAAAGAAATAAACTTCCGAAAGTACTTCCTAAACCAAGAGTCACATATGAACAATGAATATTTATATATAACATAAAATCTAGTTATGTGTTATAAGTATAGTTATGTCCCCAGGAGCCGTCCCTTTTTGCTGTGGCTAAGTTATTGGAGACAGGTCTGGCTAACATGCACCGCATAGAGGTCATGTGGAGACCAATCACTAATCACCTTCTGGAGGTAAGAAAATGTAAATGTATGTGCGTGCGTGTGTGCGTGCGTACGTGTGTGTGTGTAAATAGACTATTCTATTTGATTATACATGTTCGAAAGTTAGAATGTCATCAAAACTTTATCAAAAACTGTATATTTTTTTTATAAAAAGCTATTACATTTAAACATCAAATGTTAAGATGTCACCTACATTGTATCAATTATTATACTATATATAGTATAACAAATACCAAATACATAATTATATGAATATAGACAAAATAAATCTTTATTAAATCAATTTAATGTAAATACAGTCAGAACTTACTATATAGTTTTATATTAACTTGTTCCAGGTGTGCCAGCATCCTCATATCAGGATGCGTGAGTGGGGGGTGGAGGCTATCACGTACTTGGTGCAAGCGGCCTTTCAATATCATCACAACCACCCTGAACTCGTCACTGAGGTATGAGCGAAGACGGGTGATAAAGTTTACTTGTCAACACCAGCTTGTATAGAGTAATCCCTACTAATATTATAAATGCGAAAGTAACTCTGTCTGTCTGTCTGTTACGCTTTCACGCCTGAACCACTCAACTGATTTTAATGAAAATTGGTAAAGAGATAGAGTTAACCTTGAGAAAGAACATAGGATAGTGTTTATAATAGGCTTTTGAAAGACTTTTGAACTCCACGCGGGCGAAGTTGCGGGCGGAAAGCTAGTACTGAATATTTTTAGTAATACAACAAGAACAAACTCTTGCTTAGTCAATTTCTCATCGTTTAAGGAATTCCAGCATTACTATTCCCTCCTCTTTCCTCCCTTATCATATTCTAATCTAATTTCCCTCCTTCCCAAATCGTTATAAAATTAATAATTACTTGTAGTTCCGTCTTCAAATGACAATCATTTGAATCTTATGATATTGTCACATAAAAAATTAGTTATTTACAAGAGTAAAAGTTCAAACAAATATTATTAAAAATCAATACAGAGCTGTGTATAATGATTTTAAACTCATATCTTGAATTCCTGGTATATATTTCCAGGCCCGCGAGCGTCTAGTGCTGGAACCTCTGGGCGAGCTGTGTTCCGTACGTCACTGTGACGTGCGGGCCAGGCAGCTAGAGTGTGCTGCCAGACTGCTGCACTCCAGGGGCGACCAACTGGGGGCCGCCTGGCCGCTCATGATGGAGATCATATCGGCTATCGGCGACCATCACAGGTACAGTGAAGTGGAATGTAGGATTTCCTTTTTTTACATGAGTATGACAATATTTTGTTTTATATCACACATAAGAATATATATATACAAAAAAAGTGGTGTTAGTTACATTTATAACTCAAGAATGTTTGGACGGATTTTGGATGGAAATTGATGGTGTGTTACGTTAGCACCAGGAGACGGACATAGGATACTTTTGAATTCGTATGACAAAAAATAAATTAGTAGATACTAAAATCCAAAAATTGTTTATTTACTGCCTCTAAATCAGAACAGTACGCCTGGTAAGCTATACGGTTCTAATTATGAAACTAATGTAGATAAAGTTGCGGGCAAAAGCTAGAAATCTTTATATATATAATTCTTCTGTGTGTGTATGTCACTGAACTTCTCTCAAACGACTGGACCGATTTTAATGAAATTTTTTGTGTGTGTTCAAGGGGATCTGGGAATGGTTTAGATTCACAATTTTCTCCGCTGCACAATGTTTTTTAATTACTTTTTAATTTATTTGTAGTTGTTGATACAAACGTTTTTTTTGATATTAGATTTGACAACTAACTAATATGTCAATCATTCTGTCGCACTTCAAAACACGGAGATTTATGGCTTTAATTGGTAAACTCTAAAAATATAAATAAAAAACGTTACAGATATTTCTTGATTATGGGGCGATACGAAGTTCGCCGGGTCTTCTAGTATATATATATTAAAGTCTGTTTCTCCCCTCTCCCCAGTGAGCAGCTGGTCCGCTCAGCGTTCCAATGCGCCCAGCTGGTAGCGGGCGACCTGCTGGGCTGTGCAGGTCCCAGGTGTCTGCGCCGAGTGCTGGCAGCTGCGGCCGCCTTCGCCAGGCAAACCAAGGAGCTGAATATTAGTCTTACAGCTGTTGGACTGATGGTGGGTAGTCAATCCAATTAGATTTTCTTCCTTTTGTGGGTGATAAAAGAACAAATGGTTCATTAATGATTAGTGTTCATCATAACTCATATCATCATATAAAATGAAGTGTGTTGAAAAGTTTTTTAACATATTAGAAGGTCAAATAAAGGTTACAATAACTCTTCCATAGAATTCATTTCTGTTGAAATTATTCTTTAATCCAGAAGCCAATACGTTGATTGGCCATTATTTTCTTAATAATGAATTGAATTATAACATTTTTTTAAGTAATTCTTTTCTCGCTTTCAGTGGAATATTTCCGACTATTTGTACCACAACCGTGACAAGTTATCAGCGGCCCTCGTGAATGAGTCGGTGCCAGACGTGCAGCCCGACCTACCGCCGCTAGACAGACTGTGGATGTGTCTATACATACGACTCAGTGAGACTCAGATGATAATTATTTACTCAGTTCATATTATAAACATATTGCTAAAGAAAACATGTGAAAATCGCCTTTATTTAGTCAATTATGTGTGATTTACATATTAAGCATTACCTATACTAAAAAGTACTATATTGTAAAATATGAACATTTTCATCTTATAGCTAAGTTAATATTAAGTTATCATACAGCTAACTATATCGATTATATCTAAATTAATCTCCTTGTACTTAGCAGATACAATAACTAAATCTATAATATAATTAATGTACGCTCAGACTCATAATGATAGTCCATATATATAATTAACGTTCTTCTGTACATTTCATACTCCACGACTGCTGTACATTTCATACTCCAACGTATATATTAGTCCATATATATACATGTATATATTTATTAATGTCTCCTATGCCCCCAGGCGAGCTATGCACGGAGCCCCGCGCGCCAGTCCGCCGCGCGGCCAGCCAGACCCTGTTCAGCTGTATCGGCGCGCACGGCTCGCTCCTGTCCCGCCCCGCCTGGCGCTCCCTGCTGGCCGTGCTGTTCCCCATGCTGGACCAGGTGCGGAGACACTCAGACGTGGCCAGCTGCGAGAAGGTTGACACCGGTGAACACATACTGATACACCACACGAGGAACACGGCGCAGAAACAGTGGGCGGAGACACAGGTGGGGATAGATTACTGAGATATGAGATAGCGAGTGATAATTTATATGAAACTAATGTTTGTAGATTACTACGCGTGTTTTACTATTTTAAACTACATACTGCCAAAGTCTCGGTTGCTTATCAGCAACTATGATCACGGACAGACGAGAAATGGTTAATGCAAAGTAACAGAAATGTCGGAAGTATGCAGTTGAGGTTATTAAATAACGCATAGAAATCTGAAAATAATAGTGTCAATTATAACAGATTAAAAATTATAATTTCTGTTAGTAAAACTATCCCTGGTTTTCGTGTATCTAAATGAAGTTAACCTATATTCCAACACCTGTATTTCCAGGTGTTAACATTATCGGGTGTATCCCGAGTGTTCCACTCCAGGTTCCAGCTGTTAATGACTGTGGGAGACTTCATTCGCTCCTGGGTCGCTCTACTAGACTACATCACAGATTTCGCACTGAGGCGAAGTCATGAGGTAACATAGTATTAAAACTTCGTTACATCAAATAAAAAACCGTTTATATAGATAATTTCTTCGGGTATATCGCTAATATGTAAAAATAGAATAGATAATTAACCCGATACATATGTATGAAATTATCAGTAACACTCATCTATTTTATATTATATTTTGGGGTATTTTGAGATACAGGTTCAACCTACTTCAAAATTCCTGTTGCTAACTATTGCTGTACAAACTGATTTAAAGAATATATATATATTTTTTTATTCATACTTGGTTGTTTTAAATAAACACAGATTCAACAAATAATATACTACTCTATAATATGAACACCTGTAGTTATATGATATACTAATCTTTTCTTCCAGGTGTCCGTAGCAGCTCTCAAGTCATTCCAGGAGGTTGTCTCAGCAGCAGGTCGTGCGGAGGGCGACGTCCCGCGCCGCGTGTGGTCGGCCGCCTGGAACGCCTGGACAGCCATCGCTACGGGACTCGCGACAACACCTGGTATTATATACTAGCTACGCCCCGCGGTGTTACCCGGATTTCCGCGATGTAAAGTAGCCTATGTCTCATTCCTGGACGTCAGCTTCTTGAATACAAAATTTCATCAAAATCGCTTCAGCCGTTTGAGCGCGACGCAGTAACAAACATACACACACTCACAAACTTTCGCAATTATAATATTAATAGGATATATATAGACATTTAAATGGTGGCCAACAATATTATTATGTATGATAATAAAGTACTCAATTCATTAGCGAGTTGATATCGTGTTAATTTGTAGTTAAAGAACTTTATTTATCTCTCATAAAGAACGTTTAATTTAGCAAATAAACTTTCGTTTCGTGACTAAAAGCCGTGATTTAGTAATCAGATCGAAATGAACAATACAATAGTAATACGATATACCGAAAGCCGCGAGTTCAATTCCCGTCTGAATAAATGTTTTTTTCTATGTCCTCTATTGGAATATCATATAAATTATTATCTACACAGTAATAAGGATTTTATGAAAATAAATATCTAGTGAACGTAGTTAGGTATAATAAAGTAAATATTCGTCTTCCTTTGGGAAAGTTTTATTTCAAATAAATATATCATTAGTTTTTATATGTATAAATATATGACCAGTTTTTATAAGATATATTAATATGATGTGTGTATTATACAGGGTGTGCGGACGACAAGCCGGCGGAGGTGTTCTCTCCGTCCCTCAACTTCCTCACCACCCTCGTACAGATCTTCCCTCTCATCTTCCAACACATACGACCCACGTGAGTACTTATATATAAATAAGGAAAAATCTAAACTATCACTGATTAATGAAATCTAATATTTTCGCGACTATTCATCGAAATAAAACTACTAGTTTCGGATTCACTACGACATTTTTATTATTTTAACAAAATACTCCCGACGTTTCTTTGCAACGACGGTGATTACGGGAAGACGAGATGAGAAGTTTTATTTCTATTATGGATTATAAAATATTTATATTCATAGAAGGTTGTTTTCTAATTATTGTATGTTTTAATTGAAAATACTTTTTAGTATGAAACTAAATGAAAAACAAATAAATGAAATCATTGTTATTGAGACGATATTTTAACATATTTTTGACTTAATATTTCTTATATACAGATTCACCGCTGCGGATGTCGAGAAGCTTGGATCATGTTTGTCCACTGTGTGTAGCGTGGAGCCCTCGGCCTCCGCCCTCGACAGCATGGGGGCCGCGGCACCCGTCAGTCTACACGCGCTACACTGTTTAGATACAGTACATAAGGTATAATAAAACACAAGTTACAAACGTTATTTTTATACAGGGTGACTGGTGAATTACTATCAATATTTAAGGAGAATACTCGGTACATGATTCTCATTCGAATTATGTAAAAAAAATAGGTACTTAATTTTTGACCAAATTTCCGTATAAATAAATAAAGTGTGGACACGTTCCAAGTGTTCCAAGTGTGGACGCGTGCGGCGGCGTGCTGATACAACACCACGCCGCCGCACGCGCGTGTGTGTGTGTGTGTATACCTAATCTGTAGGGTGTTCACACGATGCGTAATTAATTACATAACTTTTGGTTAACTTTACTTAAAAGTTTATTAATATTTAGGTTATATTAATTTTTATTTTGTCATATATGATCGTCAAATATCACGTCCCCAAGTATCGATAGTAATTCACCAGTCACCCTGTATAAGTCCACACAAATGAAGATAGTTGAAATACAAGTGTTGTCTCAATATCCTTCAAATTATTACACACACCACCCAAAAAGAGACTTTTCAGTTTGATAACAATTAATTTTTAATTTTTCTAAAACTGAACTGAATTGTCATTCATACTAACAACGATATCCTACTTCTTCCCCAGAAAATCTTATCTCTTATAAGGAGTTAATATCATACTTATAAATTATTTAATACTATAAATATCCTTTTTCTTTCCCAGGAGGCGTTAGTCCGTCACGAGTTACTCCCGGCCATGTTCGGCGGGCTCACGTCCCTGGCGGGCGCGTGCTCCGACCAGCCGTCCGCGGCTGTGCGCTGCCTGGCCGCCGCCGCCAACCTGTATCGGGCGGCGCCCGCACCCAGCGCGCACCACCTGCCCGCACTCATGAAGGTGGGGACAGACACACACATACACACACACACACACGGACATACACATACATACACACATAGACAGACAGACACATACACACAGACAGACATATACACACATACACATACACACGAATCCATACGCAGGCAGTTATTGTTTGTAATTAGGTTTTATTGAGTAGTTATTTAAAAGTAACCGGGTGACTGTAAGTGAATAAGATATATCTTTAGAATTCTAATAGTCATAAAAAATATAGCTGTCTTATAAACCCACAACTTTTAAATAACAAATCGTAACATTGGTAACAAATCGTAAAGCATTTTAAGTAATTGTTATCTTCAACCAAAGCACCAGAAACAACTTAAATGTAATACACAAACCGCGTCAACACTTTCCCGTGTAAAAGACAAAGAAGACAAAGACAAACAAAACAAATATCATCGCTTTAACGTCGCTTCGTATGCGTTCAAATTAAATTTGTGTTCCGTAAATATACATAATATACTGTGTAATCTATATGGAATTGTAAAAATAAACACACACTTTGTGACACTACTATGAGACTTTCCTGTCATCTCTATTTGAGGGTATCCTGATTATAAATATAAACTCAAACTGACACTAGTGTAATAACTTTCTTATTCTCTATTTGAGTTTATCCTGACATTCAAATGTATACCTTATATGTATATATAACAGGCGTTACATTCGGCTGTCCGTCTGTGTCCTGAACGACGCCGCAGCGAGCGAGACAGGGAGGGAGGGGATGAACCGGCGCACACTACCGCCCTCTTGTTACAGGTGACCACACCTATATATATAATGCCTTATAATAATCAATAATTTAAAATAGTAATATTTCTATTATATATTCACAGGTGCTAGCGACGGGACTGCCTCTAGCTCGGGAGAATCCAGATGATTACAGTGAATTCTGGGAGATGCTGCCCGAAGTACTGGAGACGTTCATGTTTGAACCGCCGTGAGTTTATATATATTTTAATACTGTAATGAAATTGTTAAGTATTGAGAGTGATAAGTACGTCATTCAAATATACAAGTCAGTTGCACAGTGATTGCTTTGTTAATAGATAGATGACATGCGAGACAAGAAAAGACAGGAAAATGTATATAAATATGTGATTGTATATTAATTAATATGTTAATTATACTAACAGAAAATGATGATATTATAACAACAAAAATTTATATATGTAATTAGATATGAATAACTATGTGAATTTGAAATTCATCACGAGTTAATAGCTTAAATAGACACTGATAAACACCTCAAATCTTGTTTCTTTAAGAATATATAGTCAAACAAATAGCCAAAAACTATTCACAACATGTAAGGCAGACCCTGGCTATAGCTGGGAAATTGCCAGGTAGAAGAACAAGAAGAATATATTATCAAACAGTGTTTTATCAATTCCAGTGTGGGTGGTAGCGCTCAAGCTCGTGAGGTGGTAGGTGTGATCCGTGATGAAGTATTACGAGCGGTCCCTCGACCTCCTCAGCGGCCCGCCACCCGCCTGCTGGCGCTAGTGAGGGCCGGCTCCATGCATCACACACGACCACATACTGTACACACGAGAGACCGTTAGTATAACATAATTGTATATTTCGTTATACACTGGTGCCAAATTAAACAACCAAGAACTTTATACTAACTTGGTGTAATATAAGAGATGTGTACAGCGATGCGATCGGAGAGAGAATAGACAGAGTGACCATTGACAATTAATAAAGTTAACCTTTAAAGCAATAAATATTATATGACACTAGTTTACTACTGGTGTTGCCATTATAAAAGATCAAGAGCAAACAGAATAGCAAAATTAATATATTATATAAAATTAATTTTGTAGGCGTTATGCGCCGAAATAATATTTTTTTATTTATTTATTTATTTGATGAGAAAGGTGGCAAATGAGCAGATAGCCTGCGTGATTGGCAATAGTCACCGTTGCCCATACACATCCAAAAAATAAGAAATGTTGCGAACGCGTTGCCAACCTTAATTATTGAAGAACAGGGGAGGGAATGAACAGATTTGTAAAAGTATTGCGTTTACAATGTACAGGCATAATCTGTGTATGATTTAAATCAAGAGTGAATGGACTTGTAAAGGTTATGCGTTAATAATATATGGCTTTATTTTTATCTACCAACATGTAAAATACTCGAGCAGTATCCAGACAATTATATTTTTTGCTTTAAGTAGAAACTTTATATTAATGTTTATCCACAGAAAATGAACAAGAGTTAAAGGAAAGAGAGGAGTTTGCTAGAACATGTTTCGAGACTCTACTGCAGTTCTCAATGTTAGAAGATATGGACTCACTCACCACCGCTGAAAGTAAACTTATATGACACTTATATACTAATATTAATATATGTTACACAAAAAGTACTGAACGAAAATTTAATAAAACTTCACAGTTATGTAGCTTAGGCATCAGAATATCATATAAGCTATGCTATATGACGAAAATTCTTTTTTGATTTTCATATTATATGTATAAGGGACTTATAGCTATATTTTGTATGGCATCAAGTATTACATTATAGTATAGCTAGATTTATTTTTATATGTCTATAACCGCTTTCAAATATCAGAATTTATATACAATAAAAATATTATTCAAGTAATAATATGTCATAATCCTTCATGTATTAATTAATATATCATGCATTATTTCAGACGACAGTGATCCCCTGGCCATAATGCCTCTACTGGACCGCTTCCAGGAAGTTATAGCCAAGTACAGCAGAGACGAGGAGAGTACGGAACCTATACCTAGGTACAGAAATATATATATATATATATATATATATATATAATCTCCAGAATAATAATATATTTAATATATACTATGTCTCTAATGCAAGAATATTGGTGTAGAAATTTTAAAAAAACATTAAAATTTAAGAAAGTACTAAAATTTAACATTCAAACCATGTAGGAATACTTGTATGTGAGCATTTAACACATGAACGAATCGTATTATATCATAATGTTATCATATCATTATCATTACAGACAACAAGTGTCGGAGGTGTCGTTCGTGCTGCGGGCGGTCGCGTCTCTGGCTGGTGCTATGTTGAGGGCGCCGCGAGGGAGAGTCGACGACGCGGCCTGGGAGAAACTTATTGGTAACATACATATTATATATGTAATATTAATCTATTTCTTGTACTACGTATGCATTATACTATTTACGACGAAGAACGATTGTAGTAATTGGTTTACAATTATTTATAGCACTCTACTTCCCTATCCTACCTAGATTATTGTAATCAGTTTTGTTTCTTAGTTTTTAGCTTTGTTTTATCTTAGTTTTATACCGTTTAGTCTATATTTTAGTAAAAAAAACAATGTTGTATGCACCTGTAAAGGCTAATCATACTATGTAGATTGTATATTGAATGCATATAATATTGTGTTAGTTATTATGATAAGTCGATGGTGTATATAAATAAATAAATAAATAAAATTATAAACACTAGTAAGGCCTTGAATGATTATTATTAATTAAAAGACATGACACTTATGAGTTCTTAGACTTCCACAAGTATTTCTTTAATTGAAATGTTATTCGAATTACATCTAGTCTTAATGAACACGGTTGCTGAAAAGTAACCTAAACGCCGGGAGTATGTTGTTAAAATAATAAAATAAGCCTAATAATCCAAATATTATTAGTTTCATAGAAATTAACTAACTTCCTATTTCAATACTAACATGGTGTTATTTATTACTATTCATATATAACTTGTCTTATTACAGGTGTATATCCGTCACTCGTTCGTCTGTCAGGAGGGGCGCGGGCGGGGGCCGCGGGGGCTGCCTTGAGGGAGGCCCTGATGCAGTTCGGAGCGCTACTAGCGCCGCCCTAGCGGTGAGAGGATAAACTAACTAAACAACTGATATACTTGTAATGATATTAAAACTTAATTTGTTACACTGAATCATAGCTCTTTAATTACTTCAGAACTTAACTTACATATATATAAATATATAGAAAAATGTTAACACATATATGAAAATAAAAATATATTTTTTAAACAAGCCTATTTCTAATATAATCTTGTTACAGTGTGCCTAGCATCGCTAATGTGAAATGAATCTTATGAAGAGGCGGTAAGGCGTGAAATCGTTTAGTTGTTCGAGGCTATCGTCACTCTGTATATAAGTTTGTAAAATAATTATTTTATCAATTAAAATGTGTCATATTATTACGTTGAAATGAAAGTTATAATGCAATAAATATTTATGGAACATTTAATTTATTTATTATTATGTTAGATGTGAATAAATATTTGATTTTTATTTAATTTAAGACGATTCAATGCTTTCTTATTGCTCATAGTCTAACAACATCGAATAAATAGTAACGGTATAGCTGTAATGTTTAGGAATCATATACATTAAAAAACACATTAGTTGTGGATCTTCCAAAACGAAAATGTAGATATCGCTAGTAGTCATTGTTACTTTTATACATTAATATGAAAAAGTCGCTTAGAATTAATCAAGATATTATTAGATACAGAGCCGGATAGTTTAAAAAACGTGGCTCTAGCTTCAACAAAATAAAATGTATTTCAAGAAAATAAAATTAAAATGTATGAAAAATAAAAAACATTTATTTTGTCATTCCATAATATATTTTGTTTTGTCATTAAGTATTATAATCTTAATTTCTGTTTATACGTAAACCAATCATATATGTATCAATATGTATATTTTTGTTATATTGTAAATCGACTGATTTGAAAATAATAAAATTTAGTATGAGAATATATTTTTCTAACCTAATACCTCATTGTGAAGCCAAATGGAAGAGGTTTTAAAGTAGCCATTTTATTTCTACACCACTTATGAACAATATTAGTATTAAAAATCATCACAATCAAATTAATATTGTAATACACGGAAACTGTGAAGTCATTGAATAGTTGATTGAAATGTATTCAAATAAATACGATTAAAAATGTATCGTTTTATTATTTTCCCTTCAATAATTTGTCAAACATGATTTCATACAGGAATAACAAGGAGGATAAAACAGTGACATATATTTTTATAACTGAACAAAGGATTTTTATTCAAAACTGTCAAATTAATTGTTATAATACTACGGGTTAGTTCTCAGCCCGTCTAATAAGTTACATACTATAAAACAAGAAAACAATATTGGTTGAATATGTTGTTTAAAAAAAAATATTGTTAAAATAATGATACATACACTAGTTATTATTTATTCTATTCATAAATATTTTCTTACTGCTTTCTTTACAACCAATTTTATTATAATATAATAATTAATCTGTTATGGCCGCCAAATGCCAATATCCAACTGAATCGTGACACTGAATCAATGATATTTAGGTATGTCACCTGTCTAGCTATAAAACGTCATATAGGTTATATATATTTTATACGTATTTCAAAAGCAACTAATACATTTAAATGTTGTTACTATCAAATATATAAAGTAAACAACGTGCTTAATATGATCACGGAATGAGTCGCTGTACTGAACAGTCGAGACGCAATAAAAAGTTGGCGTGACTGGAAATAGCTTTTGGCCTCATATTTACAAGGAAAGTTATTTGAGGCCGACACCACTGAGATTGAAGAAATCAATTTATATGTGTATAATGTATTACATTTTAAACTTATAAACATTTTAATAAAACTGATACACCTTCAATTTTTTATCGACACTGGAAATACGAATAGTAGAAATCTAATCTATTTTTTGTCACATGAAATCTAGATTTGAATGTTTTGTCATTTTATAAGAAATTAGATTTTTGTCAGTTAATAAAAAACTGGTTCAAAATCTAAGCGTTACTAACTTATATAAAATAAAATACGAAAAACATATTACCTACTGAACTTAAATCAGTGCTGTGGACAGTGGAAAAGATACAAGCAATAGTCATTGTTAATACAAATTCAGTATTTAGTATACAAAGATATACTTACATATAATGACTAAAAAGTACAACGCGGGAGATGGTTAAATTTATCACGGGTTCAACGACCGGTGACCTTTTAATATCGCGCTGAAAATAAACGTACGATTTGTTTAGAATTTTAACTTACAGCGTCTAACTCTACAATCTTAATTATTTACATCTTATGTTACTTTAATAATTTATATCGGAGTTGTTTTTTTATACGTGATTCTTGATTAAGAAGTTAATAAATATTGTCGACTGATTTATTCGGAAATCTATTTACATATAATTATATGAAAAAATAATAAGTAAAGAACATTGTAGTACATTCTAAGTAATAATATATTACGGTTATATGTATATGTAACAAATAATCTTTTTTTAACTAAGTAGGTACGTAACAACAACGTGTGATTGAACTTTTGCTAGGTAATGAAACTTTAATTTCCTTAAAACGCCGCTAGCCTCACAATGATTTAGCATTTTTGGATAAAATGTGGTAAAAATATGGGAAAACAACATTTTATTCTTGTTTGAAATCTTTAAGCTTGGTTTATTGGCTACAATAAAAATTTTATAATCACTATTTTTAAAAAGGTCTTGATTTACAGAGCGGAAGCAAATCGTGCAAATAGGATCTAGTTATTTCACAAACTATAATAAGGTACTCGTCAACTGTAATATCTGAAATAAAAGGCAGTTTAAGTAAAATTAATTAATTTATATATTAATAATTAAATATAAATTAATTAAATTAGAAATATATGTCAAAGTTATAACAAAATTCTTACATGTTGTCCCTTGAGAATTGTATAATTAGTAAAATAAAATGGAGTTGGTATTTTTATTTTTTATCTGGGTGTGTGCTTATTAATTTGTCATGTTACTTGTCACATTTATATTTCATAAACATGATTCTAGACGAATACAATTTAATTAAAACTGTTTCTATGTTATATTTTTATGAAAATATCAAACATGACTTTTAAACTAGCCATCGTTTTGTATCTTAGGTGAAGTAATTTACAAAACAAAACATTAGTAAATGTACATCTTCGGTATAAATTATATTTCTACAGATTAAAAATCTTATCTTATTAGATTTAAGATGGATGTATCAAGCTGTTGTATATATTTTTTTATAACTATTAAGATTACTGTACAGATAAAGTTCCCTTGTTCCTCAAGATCAAGGACCCCTATTATAATTATGATTTATATCGTCGCGTTCTTCAATGCTAATACATATGTATATATTATTCAAGTATATCTACGTATATTCAAAATTATATTTTTTGATACTTTCTCAACAAGTATTGACTTTTATAAAAACCTTATCCATTGTAAATATGTGTTACATATGTATGTAAAGATTGCTTTTAAAATCGGTGTCATCGGCCATGTTGCCCAAAACTGCAAAATATAATATGATAAACACATCTACAAATATTCGCCACTAAAATCCAAAACTAGACTGAATGGAGAGTTAAACGTACAAAATTTATATGTAGCTTATTGTTTAATAACTTCACAAACTTGTCGAAAAATAACAAAATGTATATTGTATTTATTAAGTAACAACGGCCTCAATAGATATATAATCAATTTCAATAAATAGTTATACCTCAATATATATGACCTTATACGGCCTACATGCAGTTCACAGAATTATGTCACTTTTCAAAAATACTTGTTTACGACCAAATAAGGAAACTGTGTGATGTCATCACACCCACAGTATATAACGAGCTTGTTGATCTTGTGCTAGTGGGATTACGTCAAGGATATTAATACTGAGTCTGTGTATTCATTTATATGATAATTTTATAGTAATAAAGTTAATTAGAACCTTTCTTATTATTATTTATTTCTGCTTCATTATTCAAAATCATTTTAATATATAGATAAAGCATAAAGTTTTTATAGGATCCTATACTCAACGCTAATGTAAGTTAAACAGAGCGCTACGAATTTAACATGGTTTTGAACTTTTTAAAAATAGATAATTGATCTGTGAAGACAGCTTTGCTTCCCGTCTTTTTTACATTCAACTCAGTAACATGTGTTTAATGTTTTTAACTATTTTGTACATATCCTATCTTCCTTCTTGAATGGATCATTAGTTTTCTTAAATGCAATACGACAAATATATGTACATTATATTGAATTATATTTTATCAAAAAAACCTATTAACTGTAATAAAAATATTTCGTTTACTTCTAGTACGTTTGCTTTTAAATTAAAGTACTCAAAGGCCTTCTCTTGTTGTTAATAAAGAATACCAGGTAAGTATTAAATAGAGCAAGTTGCACATATCAGTTACATATTCAGTAACGAACGGTATAAAATTTTACGATATACATATTTGACATCGATAATATGATAGATTTTGTTGGTCAGAATTTAAAATTTCGTTTCGAGTATTATGTATCCTTTGCTAATTTTAGTTACTTGTAAGAATTTTTTTTCAATGTATTGTTACCTTTTTATAGCTTTTTGTATATAAAAGTGTGCACTAGTAATAAATTTAATTTTACTTTGAAATACTATACTTTTACCTATTATTTTAATGAATCGTTGAAGCTTTTTTAAATAATAGATTAGTTTAATATATTGTTGTCATAAGGGGATGATTATTATAGTGTTGAAAGAAAATGCGTGTATTTTTCTGATTTGTTTTTATTTCATATCACCGGAATGTGTCGGTGTGAGTGCTCTGAACGTCGTGTGTTCAGTATTCCTCGGCTCCCTCTCCTTCACCCTCGGCGGAGTCCATGCCGACCTCCTCGTAGTCCTTCTCGAGAGCGGCCAAGTCCTCGCGGGCCTCGGAGAACTCTCCCTCCTCCATACCCTCACCCACGTACCAGTGGACGAAGGCGCGCTTGGCGTACATCAGGTCGAACTTGTGGTCCAGGCGGGCCCAGGCCTCCGCGATGGCGGTGGTGTTGGACAACATGCACACGGCGCGCTGCACCTTGGCCAAGTCTCCGCCGGGAACCACGGTAGGTGGCTGGTAGTTGATGCCGACCTTGAATCCGGTGGGACACCAGTCTACGAACTGGATGGTGCGCTTGGTCTTGATGGTGGCGATGGCCGCGTTCACGTCCTTAGGGACAACGTCTCCTCGGTACAACATGCAGCAGGCCATGTACTTGCCGTGGCGAGGGTCGCACTTCACCATCTGGTTGGCGGGCTCGAAGCAAGCGTTCGTAATTTCAGATACGGAGAGCTGCTCATGGTAGGCCTTCTCGGCGGAGATGACGGGCGCGTATGTGACCAGAGGGAAGTGGATACGCGGGTAAGGCACCAAGTTGGTCTGGAACTCGGTGAGGTCGACGTTGAGGGCGCCGTCGAAACGCAGGGAGGCGGTGATGGAGGACACGATCTGTCCGATCAGTCTGTTGAGGTTGGTGTATGTGGGGCGCTCGATGTCCAGGTTCCTGCGGCAGATGTCGTAGATGGCCTCGTTGTCGACCATGAAGGCGCAGTCCGAGTGTTCCAGGGTGGTGTGTGTAGTGAGGATGGAGTTGTAGGGCTCCACGACGGCGGTGGACACCTGCGGCGCGGGGTAGATGGCGAACTCCAGCTTGGACTTCTTGCCGTAGTCCACGGAGAGGCGCTCCATGAGCAGGGACGTGAACCCTGAACCAGTACCTCCTCCGAACGAGTGGAAGATGAGGAAGCCCTGAAGACCCGTACATTGGTCGGCCAACTTGCGGATGCGGTCGAGTACCAAGTCTACGATTTCCTTTCCGATGGTGTAGTGACCGCGGGCGTAGTTGTTGGCCGCGTCTTCCTTACCAGTGATAAGTTGTTCTGGATGAAACAACTGTCTGTATGTGCCGGTGCGGACCTCATCTGTTGAGAAAAACACATTTAGTAAAAAATGCGAACTATAATTAATTTCAGAAACATTATAGCGATCATTTTGAATTATAATGTATTCAATTATAATCTATTTAATCTATCTATTTCTCACTCACCGACTACAGTGGGTTCCAAGTCAACAAACACGGCGCGGGGCACGTGTTTGCCGGCTCCGGTCTCGCTGAAGAAGGTGTTGAAGGAGTCATCGCCGCCACCGATGGTCTTGTCAGTGGGCATCTGACCGTCAGGCTGGATGCCATGCTCGAGACAGTACAGTTCCCAGCAGGCATTACCGATCTGGACTCCGGCTTGACCAACGTGTACAGAGATGCACTCACGCTGTTAACAAAAAAAAATCATTTACAAGTCTGAAAATGTGCATGCCTATCGCAGCTTATTATTTCCTACAGAGATAGTTATCTATAGAATTTAAATATCGTACTATACAATCCCACGAGAACAATTTAAGCACAACTTTTTTTACCGTAACGTTAAGAGAAAGCTGGTGAAAGTATTAAGCGTCAACCTTTCAATGGCAGACACTGTTATTGCAGAGAGTATTCCCGACGCTCTCTACTTAAAATTATTTTTAATACCATTTATGTACATTGCTAAGATGACATCATTGAAATCCTTGAGGTCAGGTTTGAGTCACCAATCACGAATTTTAAAGAAATATCTAGTAGGGAACTTCGAGTAATAAAGAATAATGTTATTAATCAGATTATTAAAGATACAAATCGTATCAATTTAATCTTTACAGCTAACCGTTAGGGCGTGTCAGTATGACGCGGCAGTCTGGATACAATAAAAATAAAATTTATATTCAACGAATTGTATTCAAATTAAGAATAAGAACTTCATATTCCGAATTAAGAAGATTCTATCTACAAAGAACATTTGAAAAGGGAATCGCACTTGGCCTCGTGTACAAAGTGACGCCGACAAAATGGAGGACACCGCCCGGCGACCGGCACTTCGACCGGAAGAGAATCTAAGTTAATCAGCGACAACAACCCGAAACTAGCGTGAAAATTCGTTAACGATATTAAAGAAATGAAACTTACCATTTTGATTGAGTTTTGTTGAACTTAACGTACAAATAAGTTATTAAATAAATCAGTCGACGTTCAGCACTACCGGTTAAGAGGCTTGCCGAACGGTTAATACAAGAAAAATTCCGTTAAACGCGTATTTATACAGACGGCGCTGCGGGGACCAACGCTCCTCATTCCATTCTCTGATTGGTTGATTCGACTGCCGCAGAGGCGTATCGACCAATACTATTGAAACTGTATTATATCACCATTGCTGGACTATGTGGGCCGGTGAATCATGCCGTTTTAGTGTTGTGAATTATCTTACTACATTATTATCGAAATCTTATAAATATAATATAGATTTATATTAATCGAAAATTATACCTCAAATTCAAATTAAGTATATAAAAGGATTAACAAGAAAGAAAAATTAATTTTTATTTTTATGACCATTACAATCAAATATACATATGATTTCTATTTTTATTACGATATACATATAAAATACTTTAGTATTATATTAGAAAAGAGTGTCAGTAGCTTGTTTTGATATTTTATCTTAATAAAGATAAAAAACAAGTAAAGCTTTATTTTATAATTTTCATTAACTATTTAAAAATAGGCTAATAAACGCTATTTTTATTGAAATGCTTTATAATTTAAAATAGTTTTACATTTTGATTCCTACAACACTATTTGTAATAGTGTGAGTAGTCTACTTCCGCACACAAATATGGTTCTCCGTCTGGAAAAGATTTTTGATATTTACTGATACTTTTCTCAATATATTATGAAAATATCGAAACTTATATGAAAAAATAGCATAATTCATAGTATTGCAGTGGTAATTCAATGATACATTCGTAATTTCTTCAATATTCTCGATATTGTCTGAGACACTCACACATTTGTAATTTGTCGCGTGTATAACATACGCTTCAACCAATGGCGTGCCAATCGATAGTTCAGACATCGTATTATATTCCTTATTTAGACTTGCAGCATAACTTAAAGGGAGGAAGAGAACATATTTTTAGGAAACAAAAAATTTGAGACGTTAAATTTTATCTTATTGATGTCATCTTTCAAAATATTTATTGTTTTATGTTTAAGCTATGTAGTTGCTATTTAAAACACTAATTTAGCAAGGTCAAACATTACGTTGCATTTATTAAACATATTAATTAAAAATTTGCTTCTCAGATGCTTTTTAATTATTATTTCTGACCCGTTGTTATAGGAGATATTCATTAGTACATAATTTTAGATACATTGTAAACGCTTATGTACTAAGTATTTTACTTTCTTGGATGTATATGCTTTTAAATAAAATGAACGAGAGTCAAAATATAAAATACATATACATAATTCCATTTTATATTAATTGTTTGTAACGGCATGTGTACATCGTGCTATTCATGACCCAGGAACTTATTCATTGTTAAGCTTAGGTTCGAGAATCTTGCGTTCTGTTCTCATAAAATATAATTATTTTTCTTTTACTTAGTTCTGTTGTACTAAGTATTTATAAAATAAAATCATCTTTCATAAAATAATCATTGTAAACCGTTTGAAGCTTTGGTTTTTAAAGGAGTAAAAGTAAAAATTTTAAAATTGAGATTCATCTGTACGGTACAAAAACTGTTCAAAACAGCAGATGTACAATTCAAATTATTCAACACAATACGTCATTATATTATGTTAAGTTATAAAGAAATAACTTATTTCGTAAAGCGCCATCTATCTAATCGTTTGATAATCATTAAGAAAAGATAGTTAACTACTAAACAAACTGATGGCAAGATTCTTAATGTTCTCGTAGTGACGACATCTAGTGACTTTTTAAATTCAGACCTATCACCAATGTGAAATAAAAGTTGTTACATAATTACTTAACATTTGTTATTTTTCAAACTTTCCTTCTCTTAGTATTTATGTTTAAAGCTCCAAGGCAAGATAAAAATTATTTCAGACTATTAACGCATGAGTCCCACAAGTCCACAAGGTTTTGTTCCGAGAAATCCTGATTTCCCGCGCTTCTCTTAACTGCGCCAGCGCTAAAAACGCCATTCCGCGCGCGAACGTTTTTGAACTGCACGCGCACATGCGAAACGAGAAAAAATATATGTCGAGTTTTATTACGGAATAAAATTAATAAATGACCTCTGCATAGTGATTTAATAATGATCCGTTAATATTTGGTGCTTAAATATATAAATATTGTGAAGTGTTGTGAATCAAAATTTAAATCATTGTTGTCGGCGGTTATTTTGTAAGTGTAATAATTTTTAATGTTAAAATATTTTTGCATGTTAATGACCTCGATGCGGTATTTTATGACGTGAATATGTTAAAAGCGAGAATGTTTTTTTGTAGATAAAACAGTTCTCGGCCTTTTATGGCTGTTTGCCCTCCGTTATTTTCTCAGATATGGTCTAGGATGATAAAGTAGGATATTGCCGGGGGCTAAGTTGAAACTGCTAGTAGGAACGGTAATGTCGGCTGAATATATTTCAATCTATGCTATTGTACAAAACTGCGTTTTAAATTATTACAGGTCTATAAAATATCGTCATAAAGAGCGCATTGATATAAATATTAATTATTTCTCTACATGACTTCACTTTACACTGCTATGTTATTATTTAATTAACATATGTTTAAAGACACATTAATTAAAACCATTTCTACCTGATTATAACATGAAGATTTCTTGATCAATTAACAAGGACCTCTTATTCCTAAAATAGATAGGCCTTCAAAAATGAATATGTAAATAGTATAATTTCTTTATTATTATAACCATTATAATATTAAGGTAATTTTGATATATAAACTTATTTGCTTTTTAGTATGGTATGTACTACGACATTTCATTTAAAATTAATTTCCAATTCCAACTTTTTTCATTGCAATTGTTTTAGAAGGAGTGAACGTTAAACTTTACCAGATTTTGGTGTAAACGTAATATTTATTAAAAATCTATTTTTTCGGGTTCGGGAGTTCAAATCTTCTTCTACCTGGCCATTTCCCAGCTTTAGCCAGGGTCTATCTTACATGTTGTGAATAGTTTTGACTAATTGTTTTTACGACCGGCCGCCTGAATGACATCAACCCTCTTTGGGAATGCATTAATTAGTGATGTCTAAATACCCTTAGAAAGTACATTTGACTCGAAAAAATCACATTGGTACTTGCTAGGATCAGGATCGAACCCGCGCCCTCGTGCATAAGAGGCGAATCTTTAACCACTAGCCCACCACTGACTTAAATAAGGTATTATATCAAATATTAAATTATATTTCGACATGTTTACCGTCCATAATGTTAAGTTCACAAATTTTTCGTATGACGCATTGCGGTCATAACTAAGTTTGTAGTGATTAAACGCATAAGATTCATTTATTGGAAGATGACATAAGCAATTGATTCATCTTAAGAATATTATTTGTATGAAAAACAGAAAAAGAAAATGGCCGCCAAAAACTGAATGACGATTGCATACTACCTATGGGTATTGTATGAAAAAATACATGGCGTATGCAATCCTTACTAATATTATAAATGCGAAAGTAACTCTGTCTGTCTGTCTGTTACCCTTCCACGCCTAAACCACTGAACTGATTTTAATGAAATTTGGTACAGAGATAGAGTTGATCTTGAAAAAGAACATAGGATTGTTTTTATGCCAGACTTTTGAAATGTTCTCTTGGAAACGCGATATAACCGAACTCCACGCGGGTGAAGCTGCGGGAAGAAAGCTAGTTAATAATAATTAATTTTTTTTATATATTTCATATATTGTACAGCTTTCTTGAATTTCTAGTGTTATTTATTATTAAAGGATATTCACGACATCCGTTTATTAACTTTCACTCGAAAGTCGGTCTATTCGCTGCGATTATTTTGTTATTTGTATATACTTATATATTAGTTTATTATACAATTGTATCGATATTAGTGTTGTTTCATATCGATTATTATGTATCGATACTTTAATAGACTATATTATATAAAAAAATATTTGAATAATGATTATTTTTTATTTTTTGTTCAATAATGATTTCTCATGAATGTAAACGTAGTGGTGATATCATTTCTTGGCTTGCATCCATGAGCGCTGAAATCTGGAAATAGTACGGTGCCGCTTATCATAATACATAGAATCATGTAAAAATGGATATATTAAAGAAAACAGGAGAAGTAACATTATATATTATATGTATATATACATATTTCATTATTTTTATGACGATATACATATGTATACTAATATATGCTATGCAACTATCGATACTTTTTTAACACATCACTTAAATACTTAGTTTTGTTATTAAAAATGTACATATAAGAATGTGCCTTCCTACGAACTATAGATAAATAATTAATAAATATAATATAAGTTGCTTAAAGTTTATTCAGATTATTTCTATGAGTATGATCAAATTCTGAATTATTATATCAATTTAAAAGTTTTAATTTTTTATATATACTTAACTTCAATAAGAAGCGAAGTTTCCCGTCTTCCTACACATAGACTGATTAACATTTTTTAATATATAATTTATAACATATGTATAATATCTATGAATGGAAAACCTTAAAACTGTTCGTGGGACGTAATTAAAGTAAGTCAATGCCGACTTGTACTAAGATATCTGCCTACTGATACGTGGAAGGTAAAAATATATATATTGTTTCATAATAAAATATTCTTATAAGACCTTACACTTATATGATAGTATACTTAAACTAAATTTAATCCTATATGTATAGTGTTTTCCGATTATTTCGTATCTGGAACTTACATATTATACTATTTGTATTATTGATATATTATACATATACATATTTGTCTATCTAATGTATGATTGAACAAACTATAACTCGTACGCACCACCATTGTTATGCTTCACACCTTGGCTGATTTCATACTATGTATTTGACTCTGTGCGAGAAAGGTAGGTAGCGGTTCGACTTTTCCGTCCCATTATATACCTATATTAAGTTATTTGTTACATTATAATGTTATTTATTGCTGAAAAAACAGACCACACTGAGTTTTCTAATCCGAAAAATTCGATAGTCCCATTTCGTATTGCTAAATGTTTGTCGGATTACTGTGACTCCACTATACTCTTAGCACGAGTCGTCAAACTAAAAACGCATAGTTTACCAGTTTTTCCAACTTTAAATACTGTAAGGGACGTATATTATGTAATAGTAATGTTTTTTAAAGTTTTATACAACTATAAAATGTTCTTAAATAAATATGTATGCACTAATTTACTAAGTATTTAACGCCTTTTATTGTTTATACATATTTATTAATGTCTTGCCAACTCATCCAAAGAGGTTATATTATTAGTATAGAAAACTTACTGAAAAAAAAACGAATAAAAAATATTTTTTTCACCTTAAATACTTTTTAGACATAACCATAACAGTCACTGGCACATTAAAAAAAAAAAAACAATATACATATATATTATTCCATGTTATTTATTCAAACAGTATTTAGTCCGTTATAAGTATCATTTATCCTGTTCTTTAAGGCCATTTTCGGTAATCATGTTACGTGGAATACATAATGTGTCATGTTATGTACATGACAATTGTGTCAGGGTCTCGGGAATTTATTGACATATACTAACAATGCTATATTTATTAACAATTAATGTCTCTTTTAAGAGGATAAATTAAGATTTTATCCTTACTACAAATTTTACTTGTCATACTACGTGAGTCTTAAACCTACACCTGGGTCACAGTCACTGTTAAAGCTCCTCTCACTACAACGATGGACCCGACACACGCACCGTGAATACATTGAATGATGAGAGATTTCGTCTGATTAAAGATTATTAAAGCGAAAACGGAAAACGCTGAGTATGTAGTGAACGGTGAAAACTTATGTTAAGTATACAATACCTTTTACGAAATTGCATCGTCAGACTAAATACTGATAGTTAG